CTGTGTTGTCGTCTGGTTTTATCAAACTATGGTGCAGTTTACCAAAGTCTGGATCCCCCATTTTGATTTGGCTGCGCTAGCTGTTGAGTGCTAGCAGATCAGCTGCTGCGATTTCCTTAAACTGAAATAATTCTTTTGAATGAGTGCTGATTCAAGTATCTATTGATTTACATGATTTTGATTTCTTGTCTAACACGGGCTTTATGTATAATTTTACTAAGTTAAAAATAGCCATAACTAAAAATCAACTGTCAGCATTCTGACACACATCTGTAGTCCAATCAAGAGCAAAACATAATCTTGTTAATATTAGAAGCAAACAAGGTGTAGCTATTTAAAGACAGCCATGTATGAACTGCCTTATGTGAGATTTGCCATACTTACTGCTGATGTTGTCATTGATAGATTTGGAATAAGTGCTGTATTACCACCAGTTGGGTATTTATAGATACTCACAAGACTGCGCCCCGCTTGGGTAACAGCAGTGCAGTCAAAAGAAGGTCTTGTCTGAAAATCAGAAGGCTGGATTCCAAGATAAGGGCTCAATGAGACACTCTCCCTACAGGACGATTCCCTTTGATAGGAGCCAGAGGTCAGGTAGGGTGGTGCAGCTCTGAGTCCGCAGGGCCTCTGCTCTGGCATTCCGCGTTTCTGGGTGCAGTGGGGGAATCGCGGTGCAGAACTGGGTTCTGGCAAAGGGCGTATGACAGGTCGGGTTGTGTTAATCTGCATGCAAACCTGCTGCTGGTTTTAATGTGTAAATTTAATTCTCTATTGATATGGCAACTGTTATTATTCAGGTTTGTATTTAGTTCTTCTATGGATTTTTAATATTTACATTTTATATGGAATTACTGTGTTTTTTCTTTTATAATGGGGGACCCTTGGAATATAGTGTCTGTTTGGCTGTAGGATAGATTAAACAATCTTATACACTGTTATGACATTTCCCTTCAGTTGCATCCCAACCCCAGACTGGGGATCGTAACTACACACATACTCTTCCAGTATTGAAATTATTTGTAAAGCTTATGATTGATTTTTATGTATTTATACATATGGTTGAATTAGGTGAAGTTAGTAATGACTTGCTGGAATTTTGAGCCGGTGAAATATTGCCTGATGCCACCGTGAGCTTCCGGGCAGAAGGAGTCATGCTTTAAGTGGTAGGGTGAGATGAAAGAAACTAGTGAAATTTTGAGTTACTTTTTATCTAGACTATCTTTAGTTAGACAACATGTCCTTTGTACTCTTGTGGCTTTAGCTAAACCCCCACCACACATGTGTCCATTTCTAGATAGCTGTACATCATGATAGTGTTGCCCTTTCAATATATCATGCATATAAAGTTAGTGAGGACTTTCTCTCTGGCAGTTGTGCTCATCTGAATGAGCTAAACATCTGAGCTGAGAGATTGGTTTCTCCGGGGCGGGATCCAGGTGATGTCGCGGAAACCCTGGGTTAATGTGGCCCTCGGGCCTTGGCCGTCTTCTGATCTATGAGGTTATCTCATGTTGCCTGCTGCCAAACCATCCCCCTTTGCAGGTCGCTCTGAAAACAAAGAGCTTAATGGGAATTAAGGTGCAGGTTGGGTGTGTTTGTCACCCCCCCCCCACCACCACCACCACCACCATCCATTCACTCTCTTAGGTGGACTAGACTGTCATCCCCGAGCACAGTGCCAAGGACGTGTTTTGCCAAATGCAAATGGCGCAGCAAGCCATGGCCTGCCAGGGCGGTACTTGGAATGGGATCAGGTGGTACTTTAGTGCTGGGGGCCACACCCATCCCTGCCCCGTGCACCGCTTTCCCAGATCAGGTTGCCACTAATCCCTCACACGGCCTTTTAGCAGTCTCCATCCCCCACAGGCGAACAATGGGGCCCGCCCGGCCCTTTGACATGAGCAGGGCATAATGAATGGCTGGGGAGCATTCCTGGAGCACCCCGAATAACGATAGATGTGCTCCTGTGTGGGACATGGCCAGGGAAGAGATGAAACAAGTAACATTTAGCAAAGTGCCCTTTCCCTCCTTAAGGGGTGGAGACGCGTGTCAGGCTCAGCTCAGAATGTGTGTGTGATCACGCAGTTTGAGGGGGTGGTGGAAGCCCTGATCTTTAAAAGCTGCCTTAGGTGTTGCGTCTGGTTATCTGCCATACCAGTATCTCTTGGCTCTGTGAGGAATTATTGGCTCTTGATAGCCTGGCCCCCTGCCCAGGGTGTTCCAATGCCTTGTGCCTTGTGGTTCCTGGCATGTAACCCTGTACTGAATAAGCAGTTGGAAGGTGGATGAGTGATAACTAGATATCTGCATATCTCGATTGTCTTGACTGGCTTTGGACTCGTAGTCACAGTAACTGGCTTCCTAAGGCACTTTATCCACCACTATGCATGTTTTCAGCGACTCGTTTAAACGGAATGGGAGGACTGAGGCATGGATAAGAATGTGATAAGGACAATGATCTGAACGGTTTTTCAAACATTTTTTTTCTCTAAGCAGTTGTCACTAGAAATTCTTCTGGTCAGGACCGGACAATCCTATAGACGGGTGCCAACCAGTTTCACTTTGCTTGGGACAGGGGGCACCAGCGGTGATTCTCATTAGAGGTTGACTGATATGGGTTTTTCAATGGCCGATGCCAATATTTAGGAGTCAGGGTCAGCTGAAGGCTGATTATATGCTGCCGATAATTGGACGTTTTCCCTTCTATTTGCATGCTAGAATATCACACAAATAAAAACAATCGATACACAAAATTTCTCAACTTACCGTTTATTGAATACTGACTTGTGTAAATTTAAATATAAACTTAATAAACACAATACAACTTGTAAACAATAACTAACTTATAAACAATAAAAATAACACATAACAAATTCCAAACTCTGTCAGAATCAATGATCCTTAACGTTACCTGTAAGCTAGTTTGTTGAAGGCTCATTATCATTACTAGAGTTGGGCGATCCACATTTTTTCAGTTCTGATCCGATTCCGATACACAACTGCCGATACCGATTCCGATACATGAGCTCTTATTACTTTGTTATACATCATTTTTTTAAGGTAGTAAATACAGATGGAAAAAATGTATGACAAAAATATTTAATTAGGCTACTACAAACATACATAACGTACTGTTCCACCTCGTTTGTTTTAAGCATTTTTCAGGCAATTGCAGTTCAATATGAATATCTTCAAAGCAAGTATACACAAGTGGCGAATGCTTAAAATTTTAAGTTTTTCTCCCGTTGGTGTCAGCGCAGTTACACTTTTGTTGCGATGGCAGCCCCTCTTGTATCACAAGCTGCAGCGAGTTCGCAAAACAGTCCAATTAAAGTTAGCGACTCCCAAATCATCCATTGCTTTGTTTTGTCTCGCAGTTGCGTGCGCTTTGTTAAATGGGATTGTCCATTAAACGCTATTCCCACCTCAAAACTGTATTTTACATAGATTGCAAATCGCTGTGCTACTGGTTTCTGTTAAAAGCGTATAATACTCCCTGATCGTCACGTCTTATCTTACGCTCCTCATACTGTGAAGGGTATGTGCATGACGTCACAGCAAGCGGAAGTCACTATACTCACACCCACTGAGTAGCAAAAAAGACTGAGGGGCAGCGATAGCGTTCGATTTGAATGCCGCAAAAAAAACACATGTAAAATGGGAAAGAGCTGTCATGCCATTGCTTGCTTGCTTACTTATTTCGTTTTTGGCATAGGACGTGGATCGGTCACGCATGGCCGATACTCGATCCGTGAAATAGGTCTGGATCGGCGCCGATACCGAAACGAATATCGGTATCGGTGCATCTCTAATCATTATGCCAGTTCCCGACAGCGTAATTCACATTCTCTTTCAAAAGCACTCGCGTTTTCTTTTAAAGCAACATTTCATAGCAAACCAGTTAAATAAATAGGTCTTTGAAAGATCAGAATTTAAGTCTTATCATTTTCTCCCTGGACTCTTCCAAAACTTCTGGGTGGGGTCCTGCACATGGCAGCATGGGTCATGTGTTCCACAGCAACAATAACACTGGGCTGCCCGCAGACGTGCCTGTCTGTAAATCGGTGAAATGCACTTGGATATCAGCCAATGCCGATACATTAAAAAATGCCAAATATCGGCCCAATATATCGCCCGGCCGATATATCGATCGACCTCTAATTCTCATCCAGGGTGCTGCAATGGCTAGGATCAACCCTGCATTTGGTGGCTGCTGGCAGTGTTGTGCTGGTTAGCAAATGATTCTCCTTTAATATATACCTGTACTCTCAATTTGGTATAAATGGAAATACATGGATTATTTTAGCAATTGCCAAATCCAATTCAGTGTTTCCCCTAGGTTTACAGCTTTTTTTTTGGGGGGGGGGGGCAGTCAGACACCGACAGGATTCATGGTGTTCATGTGTTTCTTTTAATGACAGCAGTCAATATAACAACTGAACTAAACATCAGAACATTTCTTTTTATGACAATTATCCACAAAGTGTGCAGCTTTTGTCACTGCAGTAAATTTTTGTCTGCTCTTCAGGTGGTTGAAGCAACATATTTTCCAACGCGCTCTCTGTCCGCTGGTGGGAGGATTGTAAACACGCGGCCGTATAGAGACAAAAATGACAAGCTGTTGTGTAAATAAGATAAATAACACAAGGCTATTTAGTTTGTTTGATAAAAGGACAATATATAGACCCGTTCTATAGGAAAGGTAACCTTAAATTACTTCTGTTGTGATCTGGCGCTATATAGAAAATAAAATGAAATAAAATTAACTTGACCTTCAAGGGGCGGGCACGGGAGGTGCCGTTGGAGGGGGGTGGGGCGCCCCCCTAATATAATGGTAGGGGAAACACTGCAATTATATTGCGAGGTTTTGAAGTCACTTTTGATTGTACGAAGTAGTTTTTGGCCTGATTCAACTTTTAATTTTCATTTAAAGTGACTTTTCTGGTTTACTCGTTGCTGTTCAGCTCTGACCTGAGTCTCCTATCTTTCTGCTCTAGGTTGTGTGGATGTAGGAAGACAAGGTTGAAATGGAACTGCCAAATCATGCCAAACAATTGCTGCTGCAGCTAAATCAACAGCGAGCCAAAGGCTTCCTGTGCGATGTGATTATCGTTGTGGAAAACGCCCTCTTCCGGGCACACAAGAACATCCTGGCTGCCAGCAGCATTTACTTCAAGTCACTCGTGCTCCATGACAACCTGATCAACCTGGACACGGAGATGGTCAACCCATCTGTGTTCCGGCAGATACTGGACTTCATCTATACAGGGAAGCTTCTGTCCTCAGACCAGGCCAACGAGCAGAACTTCAATGCCCTCTTGACGGCGGCAAGCTACCTCCAGCTCCACGACCTGGCGGCCTTGTGTAGAAAGAAGCTCAAGCGCAACGGGAAAGCCCTGCCCGGCAAGCCCGCTACACCCTGTGTTGTGCGGCCCGTCCGGAACCAGCGACTAGCCTCCACACCTGTCACCCAAAACCGGTTCCCAGGCACAACGGAGTGTGAGAAGAAGCCGTCGGACGAGCTGCTGAAGGACAAGCTGTCTGATGATGAGCTGTTCATCAGTGGCCCCCTGCACCAGGCCTCCATCAACTCCCTCCATTGCTCAGTTGGCAAGAATGGAAGCAATGGCAGCAACGGCAACATCAGCAGTGCTAGTGGTGGAGACCAGGAGCTCGGCCTGGATTTGTCCAAAAAGAGTCCATCAGCGGGCACTGCCACTGAGGAGGTGAGTCCCAACAGCCACTCCCAGGAATCCCCTGAATCTGCCTCAGTATCCACAACCAACAGTGCCTCATTCGAAGACTCAGCCACCAACCCCCAAAGCCTGGACAGTGCGGAGCCCATGGACGTAGGGGGTGTCGGCGGTTGTGAGGAAAGCAAGCCTGTCCCGGAGCCTGTCCATACCCGCAAGAGTTCCCGACAGGTTGCACGCAAGAAGGAATGGCCCAAGAGAGAGGTGGGGGGCAAGGGCGAGGAGCGGGCAGTGCCCAATGGCGTCATTGTCGGGCCTGCGGCTGGCGAGCATCGCTCTGGTAGTAGCGGCAGTGGTGGTGCAGGCAGTGGCAGCAGCTTTGCTTCAGACCATTCCTTCCCATGTAAAGAGGAGGAGGAGGAGGTGGAAAATGGGCAGGAGCACAGCGAGGACAGCGGCCAGAGCGATGGCGAAGGCAGTCATCCCAGCGCCAACTACGTGTACCGGCAGGAAGGCTTCGAACCAGCCTTTGGGGACAACTTGTACGTCTGCATCCCATGCGGCAAAGGCTTTCCCAGTTCGGAGCAGCTCAATGCCCATGTGGAGACGCACACAGAGGAGGAGCTCTACATCAAGGAGGAGGCTGCTTATGTCAAAGAGGAGGAGGCTGAGGAGGAGGCAGAGGACCTGTCTGCACCCACAGCACCCACTGGCTTTGGGGCCGAGCCTCGGCCGTTTAAGTGCTCGGTGTGCAGCAAGAGCTACAAAGACCCAGCCACATTGCGGCAGCATGAGAAGACGCACTGGCTGACCAGGCCCTTCCCCTGCAACATCTGCGGCAAGATGTTCACGCAGCGCGGCACCATGACACGCCACATGCGCAGCCACCTGGGCTTGAAGCCGTTCGCCTGCGAGGAATGTGGCATGCGCTTCACGCGCCAGTACCGCCTGACGGAGCACATGCGTGTGCACTCGGGTGAGAAGCCCTACGAGTGCCAGCTATGTGGCGGCAAGTTCACCCAGCAGCGCAACCTCATCAGCCACCTGCGCATGCACACCTCGCCCACGTAGAAGCCAAAGACGCCGCTGTCGCCACTCGACGGCCGTGCTCCCCTCCCGAATTTATGTGCACGCATTCGGATGGCGGAGATGCACACGGACCGTCCAGTGAAGAGCTCTCAGCAAGGGCCATCAGCATCGAAGCGACACCAACAGGAGATGTTTCTGAAGTTACCCCTGGGTATGATTCGATGCAGAGGTTTATTTTACTTTATTTTTTAATTACTTGCTGTGATTGTGACTGGGATCCTGCAATCGCATCGCGACCACCCGAAGCTCCCAACCACCAAACCTCCCACAAGCTTCTCCTTCACCTACATTCTTCTGTGTCAGCACCGTGATATTTGTTGGCTGTGAGGGTCACTCACTGTCTACATATATATGTCAGTCCTGTTATATATGTCAGTCCTCCAGCCGAGCAAGTTGGTAAATATTGGCAAATGGATTCTACCGTACATGTAGGCAATAATTTCATTGCGATTACGCTCCCTCAAAGCATTGTGTTACAATTGACGCATAAGTGTCAACAGTGTGGGCCGGGCCCAGGCTATCGCATTAGGAGCTTGGTGTGGTCTTCTTAACTGTGGTCAGATTATTTTAGTATTCCAAACATGCACATCCTTCTCACAGTTGTTTGATAGTGCTTTTAAAAGTAAGGGGTGGAGTTGTCTTTGATATGTTTTTGTTGTGATGCGCTCATTTTCTTCTTTTTTTAAAGCAAATAGTAGAGGTACTGGATCTTATTGGAAAAAGAGATGTGATGTTTTCTGTGAACGTCTCTAAACTGGAAGAATTTTGGGTTATTTGTGGGATTTGAGGTGGGGTGGGGGTTGCTTTTGTTGGTGTAGGCTAGACTTCCAGTTCTATAGGTACATTTTGTTTTTATTTTTGTGTCTGTATAGCTTTGCTCCCCCCACTGGAAAAAAAAGAAAAAAAAACAAGTCAGTTTAAACAGACTTGTTATCTTGCTACCTCTTAATTATTCTTAAGAACAATACATTGATTAGTGGAAGTTCCTTAATGTAATTAATTGTATAAAGTGTGTAGAATATAGTAACTTTTAACCTAACGCTTTAACCTGCCCATCTCTCAACAAAGGTTTTTAATGCTAGATTTTATGCGGTTCGTTTTTAAAGGAGGGATTTCCTGTCAGAAGAGCTTTTTTTCAGAGGGGGTTCCTGTGAACTTGTACTGCCCCTCTTTGACGTACTGTACGTTCCTCGCCTCGCCTTGCCTGGCGCAAACGGTTGATCGTAGGTCAGATGTGCATAATTGTGTTCCAAAGAGCTAATGAATGTCAAGGAGGAATGAGGTAAACTAACTTGCTTTGCTAGAGAAGTTCATAACCAAAGTTGAAAAAGAGATGTGCTTAAATATATAGCAGACTAAATTATTTCGCTTTTAATTTTTCTTTTACTTGTACAAAACAGATTGTGATTTTTATTCTAGGTTTAGAAGAAAAAAAGAACTCTACAATTATTAAGTGGTATAGGAATTTTGACCAATGACTATTTATGACCAAGGACAGTTTTTTGTTTTTTGTTTTTTTTTTTGTGGTTTGCTAGTAAAACTTCTGCTGATTGGTGGGCTGGTAATACTGTAAACTTTCAGATCTAGAAGTTTACAGTGTTTCCTTATGTTCCCTTTTAATGTTACAAGGGCCTCATCACTTTATTTACCTGTCTTTATCAGGATTTTATAGCATTTCTGTTTTCACCTCAGACCAAAAAAAAATTAATTATAATCATTTTTAATGTGAAGTTCCTTTGTTAGTTTTGGGGCAGGCTTGTTATGGTTGTTTTGAAAGATGGGTTTACAGACACATTGGGCTGCTTCTCACCCATTCAATCAATATGCTTTTCACCAGATTGACTAATTTGAATTCCATCGCCGTCGATTACACCTAATAACGGCAATCGGGAAACCCGCTTAAAGGAAGACTGTTTGTTCCTGTAAAATGGTTCTCGAATCATCAGCAGTTACTGCAAAGCAAGTCTTTATGGAAAATGTGTACCTGTCAGGCAGAAGGTGTCCAATGTGTCATATGCCCTATAAAAATCTGTGGAGGGACCCTCAGTGCGAGTGTTTGGTTTAGGCATTCCTGTTATGTTTGATTTCTCCTCGTTTGTCCTTGGGCTTTCCACACCCCTCCGTCTCATGTTCCGTAGAATGTCTTGTCTTTGGGATGTAGCTGTGGTCAGACTTGTGTACTATTTGAAGGCACCTGCATTCCTGGATTTTTTTCTTGTTATTCCTTCACATCCCTCCCTCATAACTACCTCCAGTCAAAAAATGTCCTTGAATTAAGTGCACAAACCGATCTCCTATCAAACCGTGCCCTTTTCCCTGTTGAAGGCACATGTGCTGTCCCACTGTGCTAGCCATTGGGATTCTAATATTGGTTGCTGCCACCCCCCTCTCCCCAATTTGTGTAGCATAGTCCTTTGGGCCCCAGAAATTTTCCAGGCATTTCCAAAAAATACAATTCCGCATTTTCAAATGAAATTCCATGCGGCTTCATTGGAGAGTGAGTCCTGCTTAGGCTCTCCTGGCGGCTCCTCCCACCCCAGATATGTAGATAACCAGCTTGTGTTGCCTTCAAACAGTTGTATACCTGTCAGCACTTATGCAGTACAGGCCGAAGTCTGATGCTCTTCGGAGTAACATCTAGCTCTCCACAAAGACGTTGGGCGCAGTCGAATGATGGTTTTAAATTTTTTTTTTACGTTTATTTTTATTTTTGTTTTTTTTTTTTTAAAGATGAACTCCAAACTGTGACAATACTACTCAAAAACTTCAGGGATGGTTCTGCACCTTTGAGTGCTGGACTTTCAGCTACATTTGTAAGACATAGTATTGTATCGATTTTCTGTATTTTAATTATGGGAAAACAAAACACTAGTTTCATATGTAAGATTTTAAGATGGGTTGGGGTCTACTTTTTTCACTTAAACAGAAGTCCTTGATAAAAGGCAGGGCAGCTCAGAACAAGCCTACTTTTAGTCATTTAGTTCCAGAATGTTTTCAAATAGTCACAAATTGTATTAAAAAAAATTAAGAAAAAGCTCATACCCAAATCCACAAACCTATTTTTTAAACCAAAGCACATTTGAATGATTATGGAACCTTGTGTGGCTCAAAAAAAGATATGTATGTATTTATCTCATTGTTTACATAAACTTTTACAGTTTCAGACCTCATTTGAAGTGAGACCAGTCAGGGTTGTGTATGCTTTTCCGTAGTCTGCTGCCAAAACAATAGCGACGAGCAGTGCTGCCTTGTGGAGAGCCGCCGCTGCCGCCACCGCGCATTAAGGGCCAGCAGAGGCCGCTTGCCGGGGCCTCGCCCAGCTGCCTGGGCTGTCCTTTCACATGCCTCTTTTGTGACCGCCCAATCTGGCCCTCAGCTTCACTGAGGCACATGGTTGCTGGTTGGGGGAGGGTGGTGTATCTTTGTCCCCCCCCATAAAAGAGTTTTGTTTCTAGTAGCTGTTGTGATACTCATCTTTGATACCCCAATCATCTTTCGGTGAGACCCTACTGCTGCTTGAGTGTATCCTAAAAACATGTAAATAAGCTTGTTTACACGAGGGTGGGGCTGTCAACGTATACATTGACAATGGAACCTCCTAAATAATCCCCTCAGGATTTCTTTTGATTTGTTTATAACCCTTATACTATCAGTGATAATGCTTACATTGCATGTGAATCCTTTTTTGATGGGAAATGACTGTGAATTATTGGGTTTCTCTGTAGGTGTTCTGTTATTTGAGTAACTTTCCTGAAATGCCTGCTGTTTCTCTATAGGAAAAGCAAACCAAATCTCAGGCTGGACTCACTTCAATCAAAGTTGGTGCAAACACTTATTGACAGTGTTCTTTTTTTATCAAATGTCTATTATTGTCAGTGATGAATGTATTTATTTTCTTCTGATCCTGTTTCCACTTTAGCTGAGAATTCACTCTGTGTGAAACAAGGTGTTTCCAGGGTCTGTCTTGGTTTCTTTTTTTTTTTCCTTTTTTTTCCTCCTCTTCAGGATTTCAAGCTGAGAAGCAAGACACACAGAACATAGCCATAAACCCATATCCTGTGAAGTTACGGCAGAGAACTGAGGCATTTGGTCCCTCAAGGCCAGTGGTGCGTTGTGCGATTCTGACTTATTCTCTGACGAGACATGAGCACTCTTTAGGGTTTTGTTGTGCGCTATGGAAAAAACGAATGTTTTCATGGTATTTACACAGCATTTTTTCTCTTTTTTTTTTTTGAATCTTTCACGTGACAATTCCTTAGCCGACGTTCTGTCCTTCGGTGCCGGACCTTCCAGCTCGAGTGACGGATATTCCAAATGTAGCTTGCTCTGTGTGTCATCCGCTGGTTGGAGTGCTTTTGCACAGCAGAGGGTCAAGGCTTCAGTTTCAGTCTTTTCACCAAATGATAGAAGCATCAGACCTGCTCTCTCTTCATGCCAAAGGTCTTTGGGGAAACAAGGTGCTTTACTTCCAGCTCCCTCTGTGTCAAACGTCTTTCTTTTTTTCTCCTCTGTAATGTGACTAAGTATTCATATTTTTTTCCCCTCCCGGTGTGCAGATGTGGATGGAAATAGCTTTATGAAATGCACTTTGTGCTTCTGTGAAGCTCCTAAGTTGCCCCTGAATCACACATACCAGTCCATGCTCTTCTCATTACCTCATTGTAGTGCTGTAATATTTTTTTTGTGTCCTTATTGTGTCATAATGCAGTGTTAAAAAGCTTTAACAGTAGTGATATCAGGGACTCAGGACTTAAATTATCACTTCTTTTTGAAAGCTACTCCACATCGACCCACTTGTCTATTGTTTGAGTTTTCTGCCAGAAACTGGTTTTGTTTCTGATGCACATTTTCGACTTCTGACTCTTTTTTTCTGTTCCCCCCCCCCCCACTGATAGCGTCCAGTGACAGACCCCCCCCCCCCCTGCCTCTCTCGGCAGACCAAAACAAAGCAGGGTTTTTCTGCTTTTAAAGCTTTAGTGACTCTAACTCCTTACATTTGTTTGCTTCCCACTCATAGCCCCATAGTCTTTGCTGCGAAAATAAAAATTTGAATTTCCCTGATTGGTTTCAACGACACTCAAAAAGTGTGTGTGTGTATTTTATTTTATTTTTTTAAAACAATAAACCTCATGATTAATAGAATGTGTGTTTTAAACCAGGACAAGACAAAATAGCTGCTAATGTGGTACTTGAAAAACACATTTTTTTGGGGGTTTTTTTTAATTGAAAAAAAAAAATGCTACTGGTTTATCAGGTTGTACAATGAGGTGGCTAATTATACATAAGAAGGGTGAAATGCAAAGGCACTGAAACTTAAATAGGCTGCCATTCCTTTCTCTGTCTCTTTCTCTCTCTCACACACAGACACACACACGCATGCACGCACACCTTGAGCACCTCTCGCTTGCAGCAGCACTCCGCCAGCCGATCTCCTCAGAGCACTGATTCAGGTCAGGGCCTCCGCAGTGTGGCCCCGTCAGTGTCATAGAGTACTCCACTGTACAGCTTCGAGCTGATCTCAGCGTTCAGTGTCTCAGTCTTAATGTACAGCAGTGTGGGGAAAAAAAACAAACAAACTGTTATTTTATGATCTTTTCATTAAAAGCTTGATCGAAAGACCCTTGGCTTTGTTTGTGTTTTGTGCTGGTCTGTCTGGGGTGGTGGGTGAGATCTTTCAGAAAATGGACCCCCCCTCCCCCCACACCACTGCTCCTGCCCTCCCTCCCCCCACGTTCCTGCCATCACACAGTCAAGGTGTAGCACCACAGTCTGTCCTGCTGCAGTGGGGCTTCCACTGGGCTCTGCAGGGGCAACCTCTGGAAAATATAAGCCAGTCCTGTCAAACACAACGGCTAGTCCTGCTTTAGAGTGTGTGTGTGTGTGTGTGTGTGTGTGTGTGTGTGTGTGTGTGTGTGTAAATATAAATACAACCCTATTTGCAAAAAAGTT